AGTCTTTCCGCTTTGCTGGAGTCCTGTAACCAGATGGGAACCAATCCTGTCTGTGTTCTGTGCACATCCAAAATTCCTGCTGAATGACCTGCCCTGGGAGCGAGTTACCAGTGACCCAGGGCTGGGGCAGCAGGAGGTGCAGTCGGGGGGGGGGGGGGGTGAGCCCAGGCCTGGGGTGGGGGGGGCAGCCAAAAAATTTTTTGCTTGGGGCAGCAAAACACCTAGAGCCGGCCCTGCCTCTCTCCACCTCCCATCGCGGTGGGTTCCCAGGTAGTAAAAGGAAGCGTGACCACTCCTCAGTTACTTCTAACAATCATGGGTGCAGTGAGCTCGGATTACACACACACACACACACAAGGTGTCCTTGATGTTTTCTTTGTTGATTTATTTTTTAAAATCTTTCTGGCTTTTTAGGGAACATTTTGTTTCCACTTAGTCCAGCTGGCTTTTCTTTTTAAAGAAAAAAAAATATTCCCCTCTGGCACAAGCTTTGTTGGGTCCCTGAGTTTATCCATGTGGACTTTGAGACCTAGCTATATACCTAAAGTGATTCTTTGGCTGTTAGATCTGTTGTCCAAAGGAGTTAGATCTGCAGAGAGTGGATCCTGCAACCCAGCACAGATCCAGGGATGCAAAACCCAGATATGGATCCAGAGCAACAACAAAAAAAACGTGGAGTATGGATATCTGGCTGACAAGTATGGATCTGCATCCAGAGCCAGAAAGCAATCCTGCATTTGGATCTAGCAGGTGAACATGAATCCAGGGTCATAGGTTGAGTTCAGATTCAACAGCCAAACTTGAAGGACTGCCAAGAATAGATCAGATTGCCCAGGATCCAGACGTCATGAAGATCTGATATCTCTGTGAGCAATTTGTCTAGTGGTTCTGTACCACTGAGACCCCCCTGAATCTACCCAGGTTGGTGCAGTCCGATGCTGCAAGTTCCAACACCAGAATCTTGGCAGAATTGTTTGCCTTTCTGGTTCTATGCCCAACATAGTAGCTTTAGGAAGCAGATCTTCTGTGGCAGTCCTCACAACACTGATAAGGGAAAGTGCATTAAAAGCTTCTGATCAGACCTGGAATGTTAGATTGTGTTACAGTGTAGAGTTTTAATGTTGTGCTTCCTCTGTGGCCATTGTCAGATGCCCTGCTTGTCTGGGAGAGGGATTTTCCCCTTCTGATGCCCCATCTGTCTGGCCCTTGCCTTTTAGGCAAAAGGAAAGGTCCAGATCCCTTCTTAGACTCTTGTAAGTCCAGTTTCAAACAGTACTACATTAATGCTCCTAGGGAACTTTTACTGCACGCCTGCAGGGTCCAAGCAGGCTAATTGGTATGGATTAAAATTTACACCCCTCTGATGCAGACTAAAGTACCATGCCCCTACTGTCTGATGTCTTAAGACACCAATTTACTTGGTTCTGAAACTGTCAGTTCCCTTAGTTCTGGGTAGGACATATTGTGGTTCTCTTGGGTTTCCAGCCAATCCATGATTGGTAAGTCTAGTAGAAATTCAGCTGCCCCGGACCAGGTTTACAAGAATACAGCTGCTGAGAACTGGTGCTTGGATCAGAGGCTCCCTCAGGATGTGAGGGTCATATACCCACCACAGTTCTATCAGTTCTGAGATCTCCTGGACCCAAAGATTTCTCGGCTATGCAGCCTCCTAGGAAAAACAGGTTACCATAGAACAGGTGTCATAGAATCAGTCTGCTTCAGAAAGTCCTGCCTATTGACTTCAGAGCCTCTTTTTTGCTCTTTCATTCAAGGGCTGCTGTTCCTTTTTCTTCGGGGAATTAAAGGCACATTGCTAAGGTTCTTCAGAAAAGATAGTGCTGAAGGTCCTATTTATATTTAGAACTGTTTATGTGGGACTGAGAACCATTCTGATATCCAGCATCAAAAATACACTGACAGATCCAGGTGACTCCTCTCATAGGAATTAATTTTATTGAAACACTCTTGATCTCTGGGCTACCTGTCTCTAACAATAACTAGCTCCAAACTTTTCAGTCCCAGGTCTAGGTCCACTATGTAGTATGCAGTGTTTAGGTTTGGGTAGTGGCTTGGGTAGCATCCCTGTATGAGTAGTAAAAACACAGAAGGGGTGCCCATGCTTACCGTACAAAGGATTTCCTTGGATCTTTCATTAGATCCTAAATCTCTTTTGCTGCAATTTAAGGGAGATTTAGGTTAGCCATTAGGAATAACTCCTAACTGTAAGAGTAGTTAAGCACTGTAAAAAATTACCTGGGAAGGTTGTGGGATCTCTTGTCATGGAAGTTTTTAAGAACAGGTTAGACAGGGATGTCTAGATAATATTTACTCCAGTCTCACTCTGGGGGCCTGGATTAGGTAACCTCTTGAGGTCCCTTCCTGTTCTCATTTTTATAATTGTTTCACTTTCAGAAATTTGTCCTCTGGCAGAACAGCTCTCTCCTCTACTGAGTCCTATATGTCACCTATAAAAGGAATCCTTTGTGTAGGACAGAGGATTGACTTTGTGTAAGCCAAAGGATTTCTCTTATGTCTATTAAAAAAATCAGTTTCCCCACCTAGAGGGTAAGGTTCTTCCTGGGCCTCATGGGGTTTATGGCAGCCACAACTTGCATGACTTTGGTTGCCTATCTGAGAATGAGACCTATGCAGCGCTGCTGTCCCAAGTCACAGTCCAGGTTCAGACAGTCTCCAGTTATTGATCACCATGCCTCAGAACATCACAGTCTCTCTAGATTGGTGGTCAGGCAGGGCTAACATGCTCATGGGTGTGCAGTTCAGTCCTCCAAATCCATCACAGACAGTGACGTCGGATGCATCAATCACTGCTTGGGCGGCACACTTGAATCACTTAGTTCAAGGCCACTGGTGTTCTCAGGCAAGAACATTCCACATCATACCGGAACGCAGAGCTGTTCATCTGGCTCTCAGATCGTCCCTCCCACATTTGCAAGGGAAGGTTGAGCAGTTGGTAACAAATAATACATTGGCAGTGTATTATATCAATAAGTAGGGAGGTGCTCAGTGCACTACTTGATTGCAGAGGCAATAAATCTTGATTGGTTTGTTTGCAACAACATTTATCCTGTGGTGCTACACTTGGCAGGGGAGAACAAATCGCCTCAGCAGAGTGGTTCTTGAAGGGATTTGTTGGTTCAGACCATATTTTCCAGATAGGATCGACCAGTTGTGAACATGTCTGCAATGATGTTTGACAAAGTGTCATTGTTTCTGTTCCAGAGCAGCCAAGGACAGTCTGTCTTTATCAGGTGCTTTCCTGCTGCACTGGGGATGGGATCTGATGTACGCTTGATCTTCCTTTCCCTTCATACATGAGGACAGGACTTTTATTACATCAGCCAGGAGAGTGAGTGAAAGGTTATCTATGTAAAATGCACTACAGTATATGTTTTACAACTA